GATGCCAATCCCATGGAGTGATTTCTAAGAATCCGAACGGGCTCTCTATGGCAGGGGTCGGGCCTTCTCCACCGAAAACGCAGGGGTCCGGGCCCTCACCTGGCCGCCCTATGTGTAGAAGACCTTTTGCTTTGTCCACTTCGTCCCCACAGGGCGAAAATCACTCAATCAGACGGTGAATGCCTTGCATTGGTGCATGCCTTGCTTAGTTGCCTTGGCCGAGCATCGTTGCAGTGACACGAAACACGTGGAAGGGCGGTTTGGACCATCGGACGTCGAAGACTAGAATCGGTGAGCCATCACCCGTGCACGTGACTGGGTGACGTGTGGTTCCAAGCGTTGTGTTGATACTTGGACCAGTACTTGCATCTTTCGCTGTGCAACATGTCCGCCTTTGGGCTGGCTTTATGGTTGGGAAAGACATCAATTCTGCACAGTTTGGATGATCCAGCCATACATTCCCGCAGGCTAGGGTGAAACATGAGGATAGACCCATCAAAAGCTAGTTTTTTTTGAACGAACTGCGTTTCTATGTTGGTTTGTAACTTGTAACCGGTTCTGTTTTTTCATATAACTCCTTGTGCTTGCAATTGATGTGTTTCAACAGGAGTTGGTGCTTTGTGGTTCAGTGGGTTTACTCGGCAACATGCAAACAAACAAACTCATCGTTGCCGAGTGTTATAATAGGCATGAAGCTTGAAATTCGCACCTCCAAATGGTCACGATGACATGAAAGACTTTGAAGTCTTGGTACTTTAACTTGGAAGTTCGCCATAGTTCAGCATGATCAACACACTTCGCGCTCGGCCAAGCCCGGAGATTGCAAACATGTAGCAGATCGTGGCATGGAAATGGTCGGCCGCCCACAGATGACCTTTGACATCCTTTGACCATTGGTTGGTTGGAGGGCATCCCCTCGGTCGTGTACAGAGGTATATGGTACCCTGGCATTCGATGGTACCTGATTACTTCCAAGGTGGGACATCACCAAGAGAGGTTCAGTGACCCTTCAACCTCTTTTGGCACTGGGGGTGATAGGAGTTTAACCAATCGTGCGCTGCTCTTGGAAAACACTTTCGGTGAGTCAAAGAACTTTTGTGCATCATCGGCATCCCGATGCAAGACATTGATGTAGAGGGTTGAACATCTGGGTTGGCCCGGCGTACTTTGTGGCTACAATGTGTTTTCGGCATATGTGTTTGCTTTTGCATGAACAGACTGGGCTGTTCCTTGTTGTTTTTGACAAGGAAACCGTTGTTTGGGCAGGAAACATGGATTTCTGTCACTTTCGACTTTCGTAAGGGAGTGAAATGCTCTGGTGTGGAGCAAGTGGATCAGACCCAAATTCATCTCAAGACCAGAGCCCCAAAGCCATTGGAACCCATGCTGGGCGCCAAGGGCTCCGCTTTGGGGTTCAGTGTGACCTCAGCGCGGCCGACGCTTGCACGGAATGGTGGTCCTTTCGCAGCTCCCCAGCTGCTCCGCTGCACCGCAGCTGCTCCGCTGAGTTGCAGAGGTCGACTCTGAAGCGGAGCGGGTCAGGATGGCTCAACCGTTCGTGAAGTGATTGAATGCCCTTGAAGTCGGTGGCCCACCGTTTATTTTTTTTAACGTGGTCTTTACTATGTACATAAAGACTTCCCATAAAGACTTCCCATTGTTTTGCCCCAAGGATTTTAGACAAGATGATCAACCATGTTTAAAAGGTTCAAAAGGAAAACTGATTGCCTTGAAGGCTGAAACATGTCAACCGACTACATGCAGGATGGTGTCCAGAACGCAGAGGACAAGGTAGATGACACCCATCTGATTTCAGGTGTTTTTTTGGTAGAGGAGCAAGCCAACTGACCCAAGTCCAATGATTTTCAAAAAAAGTCGAGCACGCAATCTCAATCTCAAGCACGGTGAAGAAAGAAGAACCTATTCATTTGTTGCACAGTTGAATCTACCTGAGTCTCACTATACAACGGGTCAGAAAGGGTGCATGGACTACTCGTCTTTGCATCTCTTTCTTGACTCCGACTCCACCAAAGCATACCAATCCATCAGTTGCTCGACATGCGAGTCTCCTTTTGTGGCTAAAGCCGAAAGGAGTATCCCTCCCCACGCCACAGCCGAAGGCGAGGCCGACGCTCGTTCCAAGAACGCTTCCGCGTCGGACGACTCGGGAAGAGTGGCCAATCCCGGTCTCACACGTGCATGGCAAAAAAAGAGAGCGCAGAGAGGGTGCACGCCCAGAAGGTTCGGGGAACCCAAGGCTTTGGGTATGGACTGGAGTAAGTTGATCAAGTAAGTCTTCAAGCACGAGACAGTTCCTTGATGTATGGACAATTGACAATGCACTCCTCCAGTTCGTCGGCAGAGCTCAACGATGTTTAGGGTTCATCCATGTTCATTCCGAAGTCCATGGAACTTAGCACTTTTGGAAGCTGACATCAGGGTGACATCAGGGTGACATGTTCGGTCTTTTGTTTGAATTGGGTGTGTCAACACCCTGGGGTCAAGGAGAACAGTGCTGCCTTCCGCACCGCCGCGGACCCCGCGGGCCCCCGGACCCCGTGCGGACGTCCGTGGACGGCCGTGGCACGTCACGCCGGTGTGACGTCCCACGGCTTTGACCCACCCATTGAGTCTTTGGAACTACCAACCGAGGTTGAAAGACCTTATAGGACCCTGTAGTGGTACATATGGGATGGGCTATAGGGTTCTGACCCACCTCTGTTGGTACTCGTGACCAGCGGTTTTAAGTAGGTAAGGCGTGCGGATTGAGCTGGCGGATGGAGTCATAGATTCAGTCAGCTGCAGCCCTGCGGGAGCCCCTGCTAAAATGAGACAGTTCAGGCGAGAGGTAAGCTGCCACGTCGGCCTTTTTACTATTGCCTACCCAGGACTGAAGAATGGATATCCTGCCCCAACCGAACTCTTGGAGAGGACAGTTGTCCCATGTTGTCCCACAGAAGTACAGGTGGACAGTACGGTCCACTGGAAAATAAATCGGAACCTGAAGGCGCCAGACTATTGAGGTTCTATTGGTTGATTTATAGAGGGGATACTCCCGGATACCCCCGGAAACTCCCGGTCGCTGGATGTTTCCCAGTCAAAGACATCATGAATTGCTCCACAGCAAATGCACTAGATCGAGCGACAGGTCTCATGTGTCCTGTGGAAGAAACAGGTCTGGCTGGTAGTGAGCGTAATGATAAATGATTAGATGGGGACTTGCGTGAACTTCATACACATACCTGATGAGCAAGATTGTTGTTTTACAATGTCCACAGAAGGAGCGCGACATCAACAGGGTTAAACCTTGGCTGTGAACGGATAGATCACTAAAACGTTCCCATCAAGTTCTCTGAAATGAATCTAGTTTCACTCTGAAATAATGATAAAACATACTAAAAGATACTAAAAGCCTAGTAAAAGCTATATAAAAGATGTCCAAAGTGTTGTTCCAAGAACACATGAAACGAAATGACCGGCATATGATAGTTCAAAGCGTTATTCAAATCTAACATGAGATGATAATATGGTCAAACAGTGTAACGTGTTGTTGGAAGTCTGAAGTGACTGTACCCAAACACTCCATGACTTGAGCATTTACTGATAGCTTGGGCAGTTCGTCACTGCATCTCCCAGGGCCAGCTTGTGACTGTAGAGAATACCCAAGTACCTCATGCCGTCTTCTCCGACCGGGTCAGAGGTGTGTGCTTTCTAGTCCCAAAGGATGCCCCTTTCCCCCATGGTCCGACTGCTCCGGCCACGGCCGCGCTTCGCCCGCGGCCGAGGCGTCGGACCGCGGCCGCGACCGAACCGGCGCGCATCGCCGCCGGTCACCGGAGCCGCTCGCTCGCTCCAGGTGCGCGACGCCGCGGCCAAGAGCGCCTGCGCGTTGCTGGGCGCCGCCGCGCCGGAGCTGCCGCCCGGCGCGGTGGATTGGCGGTGGCGGTTGGAGGTCGGATGGGAAAGGTTAGGGAGGTGAAATGGTCGACATGGATATCTACGTTGGGTCTGTCTCAACTGAGCTGTAAGGCCTGTAACAGTCGACAGTGAAACAAGCCAACACAAGCCAAGCTGATCACTCTATTTGGAACAGGGCGTGCAACCTGGTAATAGAATAGACCCATCCATTATGGAATAAGGTCAATCTATACCAGCTGCTTCCGTTCGGGGTTACCAATGGACAACCCTATACACTGCTGAAAAAGGTCACCAGACAGGAAGCGCTAGCTACTAGGTCCGGTAGGTATCTGCATGGCAGACGAATGGAGTGCCATGGGGCAGCGCCATGGCAGCGCCATGTATCGTATCCATTCCACATGCCCATACACTCCATGGGACTGGAATATATGCCTACATTGACCCCCCTGGCACCACTCCAACTGATCGGCATATATGGCAGTCCCATTAGTCGCGTCTGGGATGGGTTTGGTTGCCGGACGAGGGGTTTTTCTCGGTGACCGGACTCGTCTCCGGGACTCGCGTGATCCGGTCGTCCGAGAGAGGGGAGATCGTTTCGATCGGTCGGAGACGGGGTCTTTGGGTGGTTTCGATCGAATGAGCTGGTGAAGGGGAGCACAAGGAGCACAAGTATGTCAGCGAAAGAGGGAACAGAACGAAACAAGTATGTCAAGACATGTCAAGACGGTCTGTGTTTCTTTATTGATCATTTATAGAGATTTTTGATGATTTTTGTGAGATCTGAAAATCATGTATTAGCCTTCTGATTACTTGGCAAGAGTGTTTTTGTGGGTTGCCGTCGTGGTTTCTTCCATAGTTTTTTGTGGCCCACAGACTGTTTGACCGCTTTCTTTTGTGGTGGAGTCGTTTCTTGGGCGAGACTTCCTTTAAACAGAACTTTGACTCCTTTTCTACCCTACTTCAAGTGTCTGACCTGCCACACCAAATGTTTTGCCCAAGCTGGGGTTTCCCGATCTGCAACAGGAACAGGGTGTTCGTTCGTTGGGTGAACCTTCCAGTGCGACTCACCCGCCACGACCGAGGTTCGCTGTGCCCAACGAACGGGCCGAGGTCGAGGGGTCCAGTGGCTGTGTGCGGAGACCCGTGGAACACGTGCGGGTTCGTGGGGCGACCGGCGACTTGGGGAGAACTGGCGTTCCAACAGAGGTGGGTCAGGACCCTATAGCCTATAGCATAGGTACCCCAGTAAGGTCCTAGTTCAGGTCACTGGCTACCTCTCTTGGTTGTGGAGCTTCTTCCTCGCCAAGATGGCAAGCATTTTCAGAGTGGTTTCTGCAAGTTGAGTTTTTGGGGTCGGTGTCTACCCCGAAACTCAGGCACGTAGCACTTGAATACACGGAGAAGGAAGGTATCATCCAGTCACCGTCAGGACAATGGAACGCAGGGGAATATATGTAGACTCTTGAACTGACTCTTGATTTATAAACCCCCGGAATATCACGTCTTGGGAGATCCCACTGCACTCTCCCACATGAACTTGTGGTTTGAAAAACATTTCCCCACTTTATAAATTCTCTTTAAAGGCGGAGGGTGGGACGAACAGCGTCAACCGAAAATGCAACCTTCTGCGGAGATCGTGCGTGTCGAGGGAACGAAATGCAGGCGAGAGTGCGATTTGTCCCCTGTGCGCGCAACCGTCTGCGGAGATCGTGCGTGTCGAGTGCGCGAAATGCAGGCGAGAGTGCGATTTGTCCCATGCGCGCGCAACCCTCTGCGGAAATCGTGCGGGTCGAGTGCGCGAAATGCAGGCGAGAGCGCGATTTGCCCCATGCCCGCGCAACCCTGTGCTGAGACTGTGCGGGTCGAGTGCGCGAAAAGCATGCGAGAGGGCGACTTGTCCCAGGCACGCGCGTATCTGGGGAGCTGGAAGATGAGAACTGACGACTTTGTAGTAACACTATAGTACGCGGAGTACTTGGGGAGCTGGAAGATGAGAACTAGTGACTTGGCAGTGCAACTGTAGTACGCGGAGTATCTGGGGAGCTGGATCGAAGATGAGAGCTGGCGACGTCGTAGTACAACTTTAGTACGCGGAGTAATTATCTGGGGAGCTGGAAGATGAGAGCTGGCGACGTGGTAGTACAACTTTGTACGCGGAGTATCTGGGGAGCTGGAAGATGAGAGCTGGCGACCTTGTAGTGCAACTGTAGTAGGCGCAGTCGCGGAGTATCTGGGAGCTGGAAGATGAGAACTGGCGAAGTTGTAGCGGAGTCTCTGGGGAGCTGGAAGATGAGAACTGGCGACTTGGTAGGAAAACTGTAGTGTGCGGAGTATCTGGGCAGCTGGAAGATGAGAACTGGCGCTGGGTTTGGGAGGGGTTTGGGAGGCCTGCGCGCTACTTGGCTCAAAGAACTAACTGTATCACTTAGGTGCTGTTTTTTTTGACTTAGGTGTTCATTTCCAAAGTCCTGAGACTGCTTGACTGACATCGAGACTCCATGACATTATGTCATGCCATGTTCAGACATTCACTTTTTCGATATGTGTGTGTATGAAAAACATATTGTGTGTGTGAAAAACATAGCAGATGCAATTGGCTCACTAAAAATTGCCCGTCCACAAAGACTTTTATTGTGAGTCAATCAAACGTTCTCCATATTTGCGAGATATTGATACGACTTTCACAACCTATATGGCTAGAATGCGACGATCACTGGGCCTGGAACTGTCATTCTGTGTTCGTTGCAGCAATGAGGCACAATTTCCCAATTTGTCGTTTACTCGTTTGACCGCATGACCATGGAGCTGTCCATGACAGAAGCTTTTACAGCGAAGCTGAACACTGAAAAAAGAAAGCCGGCAGTATGTCGGATCGCACCACATGGAGGTGATCAAGGAATCATGTGTCCAACTTGGAGGCCTAGTGACATGCGAGTATCACCTCCGCGTGCTGAAGCAGGTGCAAGTTTTGACGTATTTCGCCCGGAGCTACCTTGAACATGATGGCGAAGACCCCCCCCCAGCTGCAGCAAGAGATGATGAATGTGCCCCCGCTGGGTCCTTCGGATGGAGGCCGCGTCAATCTTTGCAGCCGGATCTCGCACAGTTTCCGTGAGAGAATCTCCAATTTCCCTTCTGGACGCAAACAAGCCCTCCTGGAGGATTTGAATGCTTCGGTGTCCACCATCAAGAGTGGCTTGAAAGTTGATGATGCTTGCGGTGTGTTTTCTTCCCACACATATTGTTCTTGGCTGTTTTCCCAATGCCTGGTCATCTTTGAAGACCACCGAGATTTGCTGACAGGCATTTTGGTGCACCCAGCGCGTTTGGAGCCTCATGTCATGGCGTTGACAGAGGATATGTTCAGTTAATAGCTTAGCTTGCTGATATTAGAAGTGGCGGATCTGCGCAGAAGACGGAGGGCCAAAAAGTTTTGGTGGTGAACTGTTGAATTTGATTCTGTGACTGTCAGGTTCCATTGATAAATGAAAGTTTGCACCATAAATCACAGCAAGCTTGCTTGCAGTTTTCTAAGGTTAAAACATCCAGCTCGCTGGTCCCACCAAACCAAGTGGATTTGTCCCCAGCATTTTGGTCCAGGGTTTCTGTCCACAGCTCTCTTTGTGTTTTGTTCCCGCAGCCCTCATGCAGTCCGCTCTGAGCCACACGTTGTTCGCGCCGAAACCGACGAAAAAGTCACTGAGCGGTCGCTGAAGGACTTGGTGCAGAATTGCCGGGAGCAGCCTGATTTGATTTCCGAACTGGGGCAACAAATTCCTGATCAGTGTCACCGGCTGCTGAATCTGAAGACCTTGATAATCTTCATCCATCTGGGGCAACGGGCAACGATGATCCATGAAAATGGTCGAATCACTGAGAGCTTGGCGCGTCAAGTCATGGAACTGCGGAGGAGAATCCATGAGTTTGAAACTAGCCGTGATGTGATGGTCCTCAAAGGAGGCAAAAAAAATTTACAAGCCCCAAGAACTTGTGGGAAGCCAGCGAGCGCTTCCGGCGCGATGTGAAGAATATCCGGGAGGCAGCGCGCAAAGAGCGCAAGCACAAACAAGGATAGAACACAGCCGCAGGAAAATAAGAGTGCGTGTGCATGGGCAAACGGACCAGGGCCATCGGTCTAGTCATGGTCATTGTCATTGTCATTTTTGTTGTCTTTCATTTTATCACAGCTTGCAGTCACGACTTGATCCAGCTTGCTGGAATAAAAGATTAAAAGTTGAGCCATCCAAATGGCAGTAAATGCAAAGTCTTGGTGGGCAAATAATTTTTGAGTAAGCCAATTGCATCTACTATGTTTTTCACACACACATTAAGTTTTTCATACACACACATATCGAAAAAAGCGAATGTGTGACAATGGCGTGACATAAGCATAAGGTCATGGAGTCTCGATGTCAGTCATCAGGCAGTCTCAGGGACTTTGAAAATGAACACCTAGGTCAAAAAAACGACACCTAAGTGATACAGTTAGTTCTTTTCACTATTTCTAGAGTGAAGAACTTCACCATTTGCCCTTACCAGCAGCTTGAGTGCTCGCGACCTTGAGCGGAGCTGTCACTGCTTGCCCGCCTACCAACATTTGACATGCCCGGATCTCAATTAAGCTTGCGAGTCCAGTGCTTGTCGTGGATCAAGTTGGGTTTTGACAAGCAAGTTGCAGAAATTTGCAGAATCATTTCATGCGAAACCATTTCAGCTGACTTGCGCGTCACGTGTCAATTGTTGAATGATCGTCAAGGTGTCGAGCATGTTTCATCATCGAGGACATCCTTCACATGGCCTGTGCCTCATGTGCATTTCTTGGTTTAACTGCCAGTGGAGAGTGTGTGACTGAAACTTGGTACTTGGCAATGCTCAGGCTCCATCAGGGAAATTCCAGATTGGCGACGCTGGCTTGTTTTACTGCGCTGGCAACACATGTCACTTGTCATGTGACAGCGTTACCTTTTTCCTGCGCTGCCGCTTAAGCCGAAGTGACACATGTTAATACGCGCGAGCTTTGCCAAGTGTTTTGTCAAGTGAGACTTGCTTGTGTGTTAAGCATGTCACGTCCTACTGTTCCGCATGGCCCCAATTTCCGGAAGATTGAGTCCAAGAACATCCTGGAAGCCATTCAGTGGCAGAAAGGACTATATGAGGTCCGCGTCACTGTCGCTTGACTTGGACTAGGGTCAGTGGAAATTTATAGTCTTGCTTGTCGAACTTGCGACATTTGCCATGTGCCATTTGCCACATCTTTCAGGATCCATCGGACGCAGAGTCACGTGACACTCAGTCAAGTGACACATGTGACAAATGGCGCTTCAAGATGGAAATTCGTGGGCCAGGCCGAGAATGCGTTCAAAGGGACCCTGACCTCCTCGACACAGTTCAGAGATATGTGCCATCAGACACATGTCACGCGCCAGCAGCCAGATGTGCAACCTGATTAATGTGAGAAGCGCGGCAGGATCGAGGTTTCTAATTTGACAAATGATTCACAGTGGCAGGGGACCGCAACTGACACCGAGTCGGAGGAAACTCCAGGTCCACAGCCAACAGTGGAGGAAGCTCCACAAACGCAGCCAACAGTCGAGGACCTCAATGAAATCACTGAGCTGATTCTGATTGATGTTGCCCTTGAATTAGTAATGGCTGATTGAATGACGTGACATGTGTCACATGACGTTTTTTAAAATTCAGCTCGGCGGGAAAAAGAGCTCTAGAACTTGTGCATTTGTCATGTGCCATTTGCTGTGTTCAACCATAGTTTGGATCATTAGGACATCTCCCGTGAAAGTTTTCAATTTTCAATACTCACACTTGCATACTTGCACTGGGATACTTACACTTGCATACTTGCACTTGGATACTTACACTTGCATACTTGCACTGGGATACTTACACTTGCATACTTGCACTTGGGTACTTACACTTGCATTCTTGCACTTGGTTGCTACACTTACACTGGGATACTCACACTTACAAACTTGGATACTTCTGTGCCATAGTGCAAGTGTTCAAGTGTAAGTGTAGAAGCGTAAGTGTTCAAGTGTAAGTGTAGAAGTGTCAGTGTTCAAGCGTAAGTGTAGAAGTGTCAGTGTTCAAGAGATTTTACGGAAGAACCCTTCGCAATGCTTTCGGGGAAAACACATCGTTCGGGGTTTGGGCTGCGAGGGTGGTGCTTTTTTACATTCGTTTCCCCTGGGAGTCAAGGAATGTTCTTTGCTTCAGTCAGTCAAACATAATTGGGAGCCGTTCGAAACCCCTGGTATAGAGACAGGCTTTAGAGAGGACATGTCATAAAGATTGATCAGTTTTTTGTTGTTTTTACCTGGAAGGCGCAAGGGCGAGCGCAAGGTTTAGATACATTGTCTATCTACTAGTACTACTAGTACTACTACTAGTACTAGTACTACTACTACTACTACTGCTACTACTACTGCTACTGCTACTGCTACTGCTACTGCTACTACTGGTACTAGTACTAGAATTATGACCAGTACCACGACTAGCACTACTGCTACTACTTTATCCTACTTCTACTACTGCTACTACTATTACTACTACTACTGGCACTACTACTACTACCACTACTACTACGACTACTACTACTACCACCACCACTACTACTACTACTACGACTTCAACTACTACCACTACTGCTACTGCTACTGCTACTACTACACTACAACTACTGGCACTACGACGACTACTAACTAGTACTACGACTACCACTATTACTACTAATACTACTACTACTACTACTACTCCTACTACCACTACTACCACTACTGCTACTACTACTACCACCACTACCACTACTACTACTACAACTACTACTACGACTACTTTTACTAGTGCTACTACTAGTACTAGTATCAGTACTAGTACTAGTACTACTACTACTACCACTACTACTACCACTACTACTACTACTACTGCTACTACTGCTACTACTACTTACTACTACTACTACTACTACTACTACTACTACTACTACTACTACTA